TTTTCGGTGAACGGTTGACGAGATAATCCATAAAAGTTTCTGCTGGTGAATATGGCAGATTTAGGGGCAGATCCCATTTCTTGGTTGGTTCTGGCTCATTGTTCGATCGCCGAAAAGTTACTGAGATCGCGGAATGACTGCGCCACCTTCCAATCTTTCTCGAAGTAGTCAAGTCTCATTTCGCGAATATGCGGATCGACTCTTGAGTATATTCTTGTAGAGGAAATCAAGTAGATCATTTCTAGAAAAAACCCGAACTCAATAGTCAAACACTTTTAGGAGAAAAAAAGCCGCGAAAAAATCCGCAATAGTTATGCATCAACCTAATAGAATTGGTTATCAGCTGGGAAGATCAGCTCACCTTTGGTTCAATCTGCGTGAGTGAAACACTCCTTCTCCGAGTTGATGTCGAAATACTTTTTCGAGTTGGTGTCGAAATAACATTACGTAGGTCAGAAGTAGTCGCGCTATGATGAAGCCTATTCTTCGAAGTCACACTCAAGCAGGCTGCCTGAAACCGTCTCTTGGATAAAACACTCAACATTTTATACCACAAACATGAGCCAAAAAATTCACTAATATAACACCCTTGGAGGCACAGTTCACGATAATTTTGGGTATTTCAGACTATATCGAAAAATGGACGATAAAGTGGAAAATAGTGCGATGAAGGCGAAGAGTGCGAATCGGTGTTTCCAAAGTGAAAAAGCCTTCGAAAAAAAAAACCATTAAAAAGGGGCTCGACGAGAATGAGACCAGAGGAACGAAGAAGGGGTGCTATACAATGCGTGCCATTGCGTACTTGTGGGTCCTGATGCAAATAGCTGATTGAAGTAAGCAAAAATGTCCATTAAATTTATTCACTCTTAAGCACAAGATAACAAAAACGCCAGTAACAACAAAAATAGTCGAATTTTTTCAGCTTTCCGAGGTACGACATTGTAAAATCGCAGCAGCAAAAAGAAATGATTAACAGAAAATAATAGAGAAGGGAGAAAAATCGCCTCACCACTCGGCGATCAGCTGATTGCGTGCTGAACGTGTGGGTTCTGGCGCGAATATTGCAATCTGTATCGTCTCACACATCAGTCGATGGGCGTGCATCGTGCGAGCCTGTAATGGGGCTCCCACTATGCCCTAGCTGCTATGGTTATGGACCCGGCAGCGTCCTCCCTGTTACCCTTGGGGCCACCGGGTATCTCAGGAGGAGAACTCAGAAACTATTTTTATCATGAACTGTGCCTTTAAGATGGGTGAACGCAGGATGATTAATCAGGACATACAAAGATTCATACTTCGGTTCCAGCCTCCGCTACTCTTCTTTCGCGCATGTCCCTTTCCGGAGTGAGCCGTAAGTTCATGCTGCTGCGACTTTGAAACAACCTTTTTGGCTGCGGATCAACCAGAGATTGTGAAAGAACCTGGAATACAGAAATTTTAGAAGAAAAATAGGAAGCACTATAGACCGGTTACCAGCTAACTTAAGGCCTTTTGCTTAAGCTAAGTCTCGGCCCTTGCAGGGAAGTAGGGCTATTTCAAGTGAGACTAATACTGCTAAATATTTTCAAAAGCTTTTCTCCGATTAGCTTCCAAATTTGCCAAATAAGTCTATTGCCGGAGCTGTGGATGTGAAATTATGCAAGCGTCAAAAGTCGTGAAAGACATGAAAAAGTTCAGTGACCTCCACTTTTAACCGCGATTTGAAGCAGTGGTAGGGATGGCTCTTCACTGAATATGGGTTGTTTCGTGGATTATGGGTTGTTTTGTGGATGTGTGCTCTAGAATAGAGTTCAGGAGAATACGAGACTTCCATTGAAATACCGCATTCTACAGGGCATTTTCCTGAACCTATAAAAAGCCCTTCCGAATAATTTTTTGTAAACTTAAACCTTTTTGTTAAATGAGGGGCCTACCCAAACCATAAACCCCTCCTTTTTGGAAATGCTCGCTCACCTACATTATCCTACAATGTATAACGCGCCAAGTGGGTGGCGGGCGTGTGGTATGTGGTATGCAGTGGCTGCTTTCATAGTCCGCCGCCCGGCCGGAGAGTCGGCGCACTGACTTGAAACGAATTAGTGCGTATGTAAGAAATCTACTCTGTTGTATTTTATTTCACGGTCAGAACAGGTCAAAACCGTGAAATAAAATGCAACAGACGTAGATTTCTCACATATGAACTAATTCGTTTTACGTCAGTGCGCCGGCTCGCCGGCCGGCCGGCCGGCGGACTACGAAAGCAGCTAGTGTGGAATGTGCAGTACGTGGCGTGCAGTGTGCGGTGGTGAGCGGTGTGTGGTATGCGTGTGATGTGTGTGTCCGACCAGAAATTCATTACTCGTGCTCCGTGATCTTAGCTGTGTTCATATTTGGCAGAAGTACTGGCGGCAGGATGGGCAGGTGTTAGGGCTCGACTCCGTCCCCACAGAGCGTGGTTTGCGAGAAATTTGTATGTGAAAGTGAATTCATGCTTAACTTAAGAGTGTTCATATTTGGCAGAGGTACTGGCGGCAGTACAGCAAGACAGAGGGCAGGTGTCAGGGCTTGATTCCGCCCACAATGGAAGGGTTTGCGAGCAATTCGCAAGTGGAGGGGAATTACAGCCGCAGTTTCTCCAGAATGAGAGAGTTAAAAGTTGGTAGGAGTGCAGGCAATGAGAATATTGGACGTGAGTGCCAGGACCGGACTCCGCCCAGGAGGGGCGGGGCTCGCGCAGATTTTGTGTCCTATGGGGAATTTAAAATATCTGTTGCAGTGGAACCAAGCGTTCGAGCGAGCATGAGAAATCATTTTTGGCAAAGTACCGAAAGCTCACGCGAGTCACCCTATATACTCATGTATTGGTTGTTCATAGGGCACTCTAACAGACCACCCTGGTCTCCGTCGGGGTCCACCAAGGCTCTGCTTTTCGCACTTCACCATCGTTGTTGTCATGGATGACATCACAGATCTCTTTGCCGACAACGTAATGCTCGGTTGCGAAGAAAAGAGGGGACTCGAGGAAAGGGTGCAAGTTTGGACGACCATCTGCCAAAGTTCGGATGCGCCAAAAAGATCGAGTACATGACCAATCAAATGTACAAGGCACTAGTATGATTGACGACACTGAGCTTACGCGTACACCTATCTTACGGAATACTGGCCTGTGTACAGAGCAGTTGGAGCACACCTCAAGGTGACGCAAACGAAAATGCTGCGGTGGAGGCTGGGGTCTCGCATATGGACTATGTTCGCATCGATGCAATAACAAGCCTTTGATGGCACGGTCATGCCCTAAGCGCGAGTCAAAAACAATGTCAATAAGATCGAATTCGGTCTCGGAGCGCCCGCAAAACAGTCTATGGGATAACCAAAGCAGCCATTCCTTGATAGTTTGCATGAGGACATTGAACTGGTTAGCCTTCAGCCCGACCAAGCACTCAATCGAGAAAAATGGCGTCAACACAAGGAAAAGCGGATCCCGCTTCTAACCATGAGGAAGGCAAACGCTAAAGAAGATTATAATGAAAACAACTTTACTGCGATTGTAGGGTATCTGTACGACCAAAGATATTGGATGTTAGAGGTAGTTGCCGAATCACCTTTTACGCAGAGAGGTTGTAAGATGCAACTAATTCAACATAAAGTAGTTTTCTGAACCACGCCGAAAAAGTCTGCCGAATGCGAATGCTCCCCATAAAAGTCGAGAAAGTGCACGCGCGTGGGGAGCTACCATTCCCACTGCTCTAGGCGGCCGTTGAAGCTCAGGCATAACAACATGTTCACGTTCAACTAATAAGCCCCCACCTAACATCTTTGTAAGCTCTTCCAGAGAATTGTTCGGCAAATTTGAAAACAGAAATGAACATGTCTAAAAATATAAGTTTTATTTCAATTGAAAACTTGAAATCCATCGTCTGTTAGATAATCGTTACCAACAGATTTGTTGGATTCAATAGACCTCCCAGGCTCCATAATATTGCCGAGCTTACGGAAGTGTTACTCGAAATGAGTTATCACAAAAGCAAACATCTCCTTGCCAAGGAATCACTAGAAGATGTTACCTGAGGACCCTCTTCAACAGGAATTCGCTTCAATGAGGAACTGCCCCGATTGCGAACTGACAACTTTGGAGTCCGAAGGGGTGTAGAACATGAAGGGATCTATAAAAGACTATGTTATCGTAACAAGAAAATGCAAGAATGCAGCAATATTGAATTGAAAGCACATTTCTTTTAGAAAGCCAATAGAGTATAGGTTCAATGAAAGCTATTCGTCGTACTTCAATCAGAATTAATACACGAGAAAACAAAACAAATGGCAAAATAACGTACTTGGAGATCCGGGTCAACCTTCACAGGTTTTCCAACTGACCGAATATCTGAGAAACTCATACGCATAGAGGAGAGACGCGGTTTTTTAGGAGGCAAAGAAGTGGGATGCCCCTTAAATAATAGTGCTCGACACAAAGGCCAACCATCACTCTGACCAACTCGGAACAATAAAAGATACATACTATTGCTGTGAGCTGCGACGACACTTCTGAGTTTTGCAACTCGTTGCCACGACAAGAAACCTCGCTTCCAACTGGTAACCTAGCTATTTCCTTCTTTGCCAGATCCAAATTCGAACTTTCCTAAAGACCCTGCGGAATCTAATGGTGAGATTTCAATAAGTATAATGAGATTAAAGTTGGAATAAAAAATGAGGGTCTCTTGTTAACCGAATGAAGTCAAGAAAACCTTTCCACAGATCTCGCCATATTGGTAAGTAATGTGCGTAACATGTGGTAAAAAACCTATACACTCTAGAGTTAAAGTCGTTTTTAGGGTGTGTTTAGGCTCACAGAAGCTGGTCAGCGGTAGGACAAAGAAGAACATTCAGTACGCCACAATAGTCTAACAGCAACCCCCGCTACGAATCATGGTTTGAACGGGTGCTCGTCATGCAATGCCAATCCCTACTTCCGCATCATCCGTCTCGTGTCTTTGCCCATAGCCCCTTGTATGTATATGTGACGCGAGAAAATTACGTGTTCAAATAGGGTTATGCTGTAGAAATGCCTTGTTTGTAAGATTCTGCGTTGCATGCATTTTATTTCACAAAAAATTTTTGTAAGATTGACGTGTTCACGGAATTTTCGTCTCAGTAGCAGTAGAGCGGACCAATATTTCATTGCTCAATGACTCATACTGCATTCAACGCCTTCTCAGTGGGGTGTCTAAACAGCTATCGATCGCATAGCATAGATCACTTCAATCGAAAACTGTAGAAGAATGTTCGGAGTAAGGAAATCAAAGAGAACACAGAAGGATTGCATGGCAAACAATCAAAGGCAAGTTACGAAGCAGTGAATGTAAAGCCATAAGCAGTGGATTGTATATGAAAAAGGGTGAAGGGAGACAGAAATTTTGAGCGCCGAAAGTGTTGAAATTAGTCAAATGTGGTTCGACCTACAAATCAGAGCTGATATCTACCGCCAGTCAGCCTTAGCCGCCAACCATATGCCAGCCCGTTGAAAAGCGCGAAGTATGAACACAACAAATCGTAGAAAAGGGTGCAAATTTTCAGACTTATATAATCGTAGACGGTGCTTAAACTCAACTTTGACATGGCAGCACATAATATCTAAGCAGAACTCTCTAAAATTTTATAAACATGAGGGATGAGCTCATTCTGAATACTTGGTCAACTGAATTTTTAGTGAACAAAGAAGAAAACCACATGGGTACCCACTATAACATGAAAACTATGCCCCGAATAAAACATATTTTCATAAATATCGAACACTAAAAGATTATTTTCGAATGGAAATAGGCATAGAAGCCGTCTAGCAATCTTTGAACCTTATTATATACAAACTGAAATCATTGACAAGTCGATCTAGTGGATATTGCAAAGCCTAATGCTTTCGACACATCGCCGCAACGTATGAGTAGCGCGAGCATTCTGATGCCCCTGCCTTGATAGCTTTTGCTGAAGACTTTCGTTTCTCCGACCTTGTTGTGCCTTCGCACTTCTACCGCCCATCGCTATCACAATGACTGTGTTTTATGGTAGAAAAGGGCGTCAGCGCCGCCCCTATGATAGGCATGGGTAGAGAATCGGTCTATGAAGTGTACGGTAGGGCAGACTAAACTCAGCTTTGTGTTCCCTTTTGATTTTAACATAGATGGTATAACTGTCGTTCGGATACCCTTGCTTTCTATTTGTTATTCTGTCCTTTATTATTTAATGTAAAGTTGAGATCGGCACAGGTAAGCGAACTGACGATGAGTCTAGTCTGCTCGGAAACGAAACCCAGAAAAAAACGTAATCGACCAAGCCGCCGCTAAGTTCTTCGAATACAGAAGCTAGCCAAGTACCCCCACTTTTATGGCCCCGCCACGTCAGTGTCACAGTCTAGTTATTAGAATCAAGCCACTGGTGTAGGGTCGTCCCAGCCGTCAATATGAAAGAGAACAATGAATGCAGCCACTGGCTCTCTCTAGCCCAAATAGCAATCTACGAGCTCTTCTGAATGACCTCTGCTCGCTCCCACCATCTCCTACATTAAGAAAAGAATGCATCAGCTGAGAAACAATTGATAAATAGAAAATGGAAAATGGAAGGACAGATGAGTGTTCTGCGAACGCACATTTAATCGTAACAAACCATCATATCACGGCGCTCGACGCTCTACCACCGAAGACGCTTCACGCTGTCTCTGAAAGCACCCATTGGCCTTTAAAGGCACAGTTTACGATAATTTCGGGTAATTCAGATTATGATGAAAAATGGAAGATAAGATGGAAAATGGAGCAATGAAGGTGAAGAAACTGCGTGAATCGCTGTCACCAATGTGAAAAAGGGCTTCGAAAACCTAGAAAAAGGGGACTGGACGAAAATGAGACCAGAAAATGAAGAAGAATGGGGCGTTCGAAAGAGCTATACAATGTGTGTCACTGCGTACGTGTGGGCCCTGGTGCGAATAGCTGGCTACAGTGAGCAAGAATTCATTCAGTCGTAAGCATAATTAACAAAAAAAAACCCTAGTAACAGCAAAAATAGCTCCCCTTCTTCAGCCTATTGAGGTACAAAATTAGGATAAGGATCGAAGCTGCAAAAATAATAACGGAGAGTAAAAGAATGGGAGAAAAGTGGCATGTGACATGAAAAGTGACAATGACACTCGTCTGACCAGACATCGATCGAGGGACGGGAAGTCCGGGCGTTCCGGTAGCGGGGCTCCCACAATGCCCTAGCAGCTGAATTTTGGGACTCCTTCCTGTTACCCTTGGGGCCACTGGGTATTCCTCGGGGGACAACTCAGAAGCCATTTTTATCGTGAACTGTGTCTTTAAACGAGAAGGATTCAGCCCTGTTTGTCACAATGTGATTACCTTTGTGGATTGGTTTTTCTTCCAAGAACCTTCCACGGTTGCAGATTGTAGAACCGCTGAGGAATGACGTTGAAGGTGTGAAACAAACTGGAAATGGTCAATGATACAAGGATCCCATTCAGCAATTTCGACATAAACTCCACCAGAAATGCAACCATACCATCGAAGCTTTAGGCACTGCTTTAGACGAGATCTTGGATTTCGATCTGACTCGTTTAAGTGCAGGTGTGAGGTTTGACGGTAATTCATAGGGATCATCACTCTAAACGATGAACATTGAACAAGAGCGACTTTGAAATAAAACATGAACCTAAACCAAATCGAAAAGGAATGTCCGTCCTAAACATACACGAGGTGTGGGAGGAAGGAGATTTCGTCGCCAGATGGGAATTCGAACCTGTATAAAAACGATCAAGGAAGTACAGTTGATCCAAGAGCATAGCGCAGTACGACAACTGTGAAAAACTGGTAAAGAAAAAAATATGACTGGTTACAGACCGGTGCCGGCAGGAGAAGTTCAGTCGATTTCGCCTCGAGATTTGCCGACGACGAACCGCAAGGGCACACCTGAGCTCTTTGTGGATCTTGGAAAAATATACTTGAAGAGGAAGCGCAAACTTACCTCGTCGTCCATTATGTCTGGTGATTGTACCGCTGCCTGGTTGCTGTTGATAAAGGGACCATAGAATTTCTAAAACATTAACTTATTACAACTTCTATATAGAAAGGAGTTTGCACCGCTTTTGGTTACTACGAGTTTCTACAGACCTTTGAAGATGTTACGAAATAGTATAATGGGAAATTCGCAGTAGAGCATTGGTCTGTATCGAATGACTGATCAATCAACACTGATAAATATTGCCTTCTTGTGTGATTCACTCCCTCGACATCATTGATTTCACTTTTCACCAGTCGTAGAGAGTTGAAACTGTTAATTCATTAGAGAGATAGGGGCTAAAGATGGTCCATAAGTGATGGGTTCAATTTGAACTCCCTCTCCTTCTGAGCCCACATAGCACTATGGAAAGAGAAAAAAGAGTGAATGAAAATCAGACGAAATATGAATGGGCAACGATTGGAGCTGACAGGGGACCAGCGTTCATGCGAAGCACCATGCTTAAGGCCCTGAAACTTCGCACAAGGTCACCAACACAAGCGAATGTCTCTGGTCTTCGCTGCTAAACATAAGTATGGGATCCTCAAATGGATGGGGAATCGTCCGTTTGACCGAAAGTTTCTCTCTTTCCATCGACATTTGCCTAGTCCAAACATACGAGTGGACATTGAAGTTCTTGAGCAGCCGCGGCTATCAAAGTCCTTCTATTAGTAGCTTAATGGGATATTCCCATAAGCACGTAAAAGGTGCTATGCTGCAGCAAAATCCAGGGTTTTCTTCTCGATTCGCGAACGTTGCAGTCAATTTCGTGTACATTGCAACTAATTTCGTAGGTCTGCCATTCTACTTCGTAGATTTGGCAGTCAATTGTACTTTTGCACACCATTTCGAAGCTGAACTCTCTCATGTGCTAGTTGTTGCCAGCCGCACAAACAGCGTCGGGCATTACGGTGGCATCTTCAGCTGCAGTGTCGAGAAGACTCAGCGAACGATCCAGTATACTTCGAAAGGAGACACCTCCAACTCGGGACGCTCTTACCTCCTTGATGAGCTGTTCCTGGCTTCTGGAAGCACGGCAGCAAATACACTGTCTAGTTGATGGACAAGTTCGATCCCACAATTTCCAGGGAATGGGGTTCATCCATTTTTTGAATTGATGAGACTTCCGAACGAACGAATAAATAAGTATAAAATCAAGAAAGAATAAAGCGTAAGGGCAAATCCGTAATGAAAGTTTAAGTCCACGATATCGTATTCAACACTCACGAAATTGTTTCAAAGTTTACAAAATGGGATACCTAAGCACAAAATTGGCTGCAAAAACTAGGGAATCGAATGGGAGAACCATGAACTGACTGAAACGTTTACAAATTTTTGATGAAAACCCTGAAATCTATTGCTGAACGCCCAGTTGCATGTAGTTGACAAACGATCGGGCGCGAAGAGATTCAAATGGCCGTTGCTCTCGCGGCGTGTCAAGCAAGTGGCGATGGAGCAGGAAATTAACAGGCAGATTTTGCGTAACTAAAGGAAGAATCAACAGCAGGATAGTGAGCTTGGGCGAGTTTATATTTTTCACTTAGTCTCTCCTTCAACTGCTCATTCGACTCCCCTCCACTGGTAAGTCACGTCTGTTCCTATTTGATTTTATTGATCTATACCTTCAAAATAGTATTGCGTTCAGTGATTCTCCAAAGAATTTGATTCCTTTCTATTATGAGAGCCATGTTTGATCATAGATTCTCAATCTTACGTATCGTGTCATTTTCAGTTCCACTCTAATGGATTGGGGGCCAGACACTTGGCGACCATACGGGCAATGGGCAAGTGAGGGACCGTTACGAAACACAACATGGCGTGGGAGGATAGATGGCTTGCGGTCATCGTTCCTTAATTCCAGGTTCGTCCACTTCTGAAACGGGATACGCTGTCGTCATATTTTCAGCTCGAAAAAGGCTAGCGCAGAGGATTTTCGTTGAAGTGCGTGACAATATTTTGATACGGGGAAGCGACCGCGAGAATCCGAAGAGGAGGTGGGGGAACCTGTTCCGACGCTGGTGGCAGAAGACGCTGTAGCATGGAAGAAATGTTGATGACGGACAAGAGCAGCTGACCATGTGATGGCGCAGGGTTGACGCAAGGGAGAATGGAGGAGGAAGGTTTTAATACGTGGACTCGAAGTAAAGGAGGATTGTTATTGACTCAATGGCGCAGCTCGGATCTCAGTGGAAGTGATTATTGGGATTTTCTGCTGGGGCAAATCTCCGGCCCAAAAGTATGTCGTAAGGGGACGGCTCAGATATGGCGCAACAAGGGTCTAAAGCCCTGTGATTTAATGGACCGCAAGCTGAGATTCCCATGCCTATGTCCTCCCAATCTCTTCTTATTTGCAGGAGCGGATTCGAACTGCACAGATCGTCATACCATCCTCACCCGTATGGGCGCCCGGTTTTCTTCAATCAACAGTCGTTTGTAACTCCACATGCGGGTGAGTTTAAGATGGCGAGTGCCATTTGCCAAATCCACCAGTCCCAGTTGTCACCTTATGCCTTATAGGGTTGCGTTTATATTCCGAATAACTGAAATGGCTGGAAATTTCAGTTTAAGGGATCTATTTGCTGTTTTGGAAACGAGAAGGGTAANAATAGGCACGGAGGAACTCGACAAATTCAGAAAAGTGCAAGGGGGAGGGCTTCGGAACCTCATTCTTCTCTACCTATTCCCTATCATCATTCTTCAGCATAAAACAACGGGAATTCGTTTCAGCAAATTCCGGAATACTTTCTTGTTTGCGGAAACTATGGATCAATGATCTATTTCTTTCAGAACGTTCCCATCATCGACCATCTTGGCCGGAGTTCCGCGACGCTCGAAGTACTTTATCCAGAGGTTTATTCGCTGATTTTTCTGAAAATACACCTCCGAATCCACTAACCCTCACTTGCGAGATAAGTGCTCAGAAGGTCGACATCAGCTGGAAACCTCCCACCCACCAGAGTAAGTACCCGTAAGGTATAGATGTTTCTGCAAGCGGATTGTAGTTAAAGTGAAGTAATGTGTTGAAAATGCTTTCAGAGGGTATTCGATATCTACTAGAGTGTACCGATAAGGAGTCTGGACGAAAGTGGGTGTTCGACCAATCGTACACTCAGACCCAACGGGAACTCAAGACTACTCCAGGGAATACATACTGGTATTTTTTTTGTGATACCTCTTGTTTTTCACTTTCAAATGAGTCCTTCAGCATTCGCCTGCAATGTGAAAGTCTTACTGATAACCGTGTGATTGCTGCAGTCTACAAAGAAATAAAAGCTGGTTTGTCTTCAAAATATCTGTTCTCGATATCGTGGATGAATGAGAAATACTCTTATTCAGTCTTCAGCTACGACGAAATGGTTCGGATGTATCACAAATGTGTGAACTTTGTTGGGACCAAAATGCAGCCTTTTGAGGTCTTGTACAGGTGAGCTTCGTATGTTTTTCAGGAAATGATAACTATGTCCTAGTTTACTGGCGGCGGCACTTTTCTGCTGTTAAGGGTTCTCGGGGCTAACAGATATTGTCATGAGATTAAATTTGTGTTAAAAGTGCACCGATGTGCAGGGGCGTGGAGCACGAGCGTAGTTCAGCAAAAGGTGTTCGGATTCACTCGTCGCTGCTTTTTTACAATCGAGTATCTTGATTCTGGCTGTATGCGCCGTAACTATTACGACCATCACTCGCTATCGTAGAGTAGGAGTTGTGTTCCAGCAAGGCTTTATCGTCAGTGGTTATTCGAGAAACCATCGAACCAATTTCTGCTCAAATTCTTCGCTTCCACTCCAAGACAGGCCAACAGACAATAAGAAAGTTTTATCCAAGAGAGAGCCTTTGAACTGATTCTTTCAACGTTATTCTCACTCGCAACATATTTTCAGTAGCGAGCAAAACTTCCTAAAATATCGCTAATCTAGGTCTGCTCATTGGTGAGAATCGTTTTGATATTGGCATAATCAAATTCTGACATAATTAAGTAACATGGATGAGTTGCCGATCTCTGTGAGGATGGGAGAGGAAAGTGAAGGGTCAGGTGAAAGGAAAGTGTACATATCAGCAAAAGATCACCTTTCTTTGATCCCCTGAAAAGGCAGAAACAGAGTCAGAAGTTCTAAGAACGATCCATGCCGATGCGAAATAAGCAAAGTTGTCTGTTACGAATTACGAGGTTTTTACTCTCAAATCATTTTTGAAAAAATAAGTGATTGATCCACGCTAGTTTGAGGCCGAATACAACGGTAACATGGACTGATAATCAGAAACCCTTGATGAATTTAGATGTTACTGCAAAAAAACCATTTGTATTCATCTCACAGGGTATAAAGCTCACGCAGAGTTATATACGCAGATCTAAGGGAGAAGGCCTTACCATAAGCTCAGGCACACTTCAGCGACAAAAATCGGTGCTAGCCCGAACCCCTGCTCACAAGGCCTATATTTTTCGGTTTGTCGCTTTCGAAAGTATCTTCCTAGTTCGTCGTACCTCACACCGCTTGATTCTTCTGTGTGAGGCATCCTCGGGTCCAAGACTGATCATAACCCCATAGAAATCTATGGGTTATAATCGCCATAGCCGTCCACCGCGCATTGGATGCATTCAGATTTCTTCAGCGTGCACTGTTTCCACCGACAGACCGACGGAAGGGGTTCCTGGCCACGTGTTAACAACGCAGGACAGATTTCGTTAAGGACCGCGTGGCTCGCAGGGCCCGTAGTCCATCAATGTTCAGCGTTGTCCGCACATGGCCAGGAACCCCGACGACGACGGTCGGTCATCCGGTGGAAACATGCGCGTCAGTGGAGACTTAATGCACTCATTGGTCTCTGCCGTCTACCTCCAGTGGCTCATCCGCTTTTGCCGTCCGCCGCCTGTCAGCTGAAAGGCGCTTAACACAGCGCAATCACTCTCATACCTAATCTGGTATCAATGATAATGTCATTAAGGTGTAAACCACGTGAGTACTGGGATGAAATTCATCACTTTCATGACGGACTGATGGAGAAATACATGAAGGATAACAACGGTCAACCCGCGAACAGAATCAATGGAATCATTTCAGGTGCTTTACTATTTTGCGAATCATTGAAGCTGGGACGATAATTGACGCGGTTTCAAATTTTACAGTACGCATGACCAACAAACCGATGTAGGCTAGCGTTTAATACATGGTAGATCTAAGTCAGTAATAACCTAAACTCAGATCAATACAAGCAAAGACCCATTCAAGACTGTATTGGCACTGATCCCCGATTAGTGCGAAACACACGCTTGAATGAATCTTTGTTTCGTAGGGATCTGAAATTTCGTTACTGAGCTGTTCTATGTTGGTACGTATTATTGTGCTTGTTTTTAATTCCTTTTCACTATAAATGAATGTATAAAGCGCGCGGCCAGAGCACTGATCATTTCAGTTTAATGTCAGTGAATTGTTAGAAATGATGTTGTCATATAGAAAAGCAAAGATTTCTTCTTAATTTCAGGATTGTTTTTCTCGGCTCGTGTCTATGCTGACGGATCGTTGCCTACTCAGTCCCCTTTCGGCAACGTTCGCATGTTGGTACCTCCAGGTGCCTTGCTAGATCCGACCATCAATAATTTCTACTTCGCTGATTTCTATTGCAATTATTACACTCATTACGTAACTGTAGTGATTTGTCGAAAAGGATCAGAGACGGACAAGTGAGTTATCAATTCTCGAAAAAATTTGGATGTGTTCCCAAAAAGAACTTATCATACAGAATATATTTAGTTACTGCTACATGAAACTCCATCGAATGGATCCCGAGGACAATCCATTCCTAACGGTGAGATTTCTTTTATGATGGTGGTAGCTTGTATATTTGTCTGATTTATTCATTTTTTAAACCTATCTGTGAGTGAACATTTTGAGATTTTGTATATTTATTCTTCCTTGTTCATTCAAATCCTGCTACATATCTGACTGATCTTCTTTTGTTTACTGTTCACCATGTCAGCTTCAATTTTTGGAGACTAAAGCGAGAGTGGTACTTCAAGATCAGGGTTGTCATAAATATTGCCTAAGTTTTGCTAGTCTTTGCCAGTCAATGTTTGCCTCGATCTTCTAGCACCGTTTATGTAGGTTAGTGTAAACATACTTCCCACTAGTAGCAATAAGTAGGGGGCAAGCTGTTTGAAAGGGTGTACCATTCACTCCGATTGTTGCCCTTTTCTTCCCTTCAGTCTAGCCTTCATACTCGGTAGCTGTGCAGGTTCTTAATGAGCCTCATTGTTTATCAATTTTTTCATATTGTTTTATGTACTGCTGCACTATTATCTACGTATAGGTGACCGTCCCTCGACATCCACATTATGCTCCCACCTACTGTGTGAACAGTGGTGTGTGGGTAGAGATTTATTATACTGAAGACATCCCGTTATGGTTGGGCCGATTCGACAGTATTCAAACTACAGGTGTGGCTATTTGTTTATCAATTATTCTTGTGAGTGGAGCGGCACAATACACTTACAGGTGCTGGAACTTCAAAAATTGGAGGCCTTCCCAACAATAAGCATTGTGAGCGCTGTAATCTTTATCCAATACCGTATCCAGATGAATTAAACGCAGAGAATAAGGAATCTAATGAAGACGATCTTGATGTGGCTGACATCACAGTGGCAGAAGATCCTTTGAACTCTACTTTCCGTGTCCTTATCAATCAGGTATACGCACAGCTTGATAATGCTTAACACCTTGTAGTCGCACAAAGTTTTCAACACATCCTGCCCTAAACTTTTTATCATTCCTTTTCAGAACAAATCTGATCTCACCGAGGACTGGGAGGACGTGATTGAAGTCATTTGTGGTATGGTTGATCAAGTATGTGAAGTGCATAAAGAAGATCAAACAAAGGTCCTTTCTATAATATATTCTGCTACTGTACTCATTATCGAAACTGCTGTCACAGGACCCCATCGCTGCATCGGACGCAGTAATAGATGCAACGTTTTTGACGATGAATCGTGAACTGGAGAAGTGTCACGATCTGATGGTCCAGAAAGCTGCCAATTTTTTGAAGGAGGTCGTCGAGAATATACGAGCGTAAGTCGCCTACTGTAATAACAGAATTAGAAAAGTACGCAGATTTTGCAATGTTCAGAAAGCGATCAGTTCTCGAGCAATCAATAAGGCATCTTGGAGTGCTGCAGAAATTGCAGCGCCCCGCTCTTCTCTCCGACGGCGTATCACGCAGGGCTATTTTATAGGCCTGAGCTTTGCTGGTTAGGCAGTATTCATTAATGACAATGTGGCTCTTATTCTCACATTTGTTACTGGTACTATTAATAGTCCCCTTAATCAATTTAGGAATCTGTCATTTCATAACAAATTGCCTTGATCACCCACTCGCATAAAATGTTGACAAAAACAGGTACTTTATAGACTTGCCTTCAGGGATCTATCGCCCTCATAATAGCATGCATACAAAGAAATGGTTTGATAGGCGCTTCTTAAACTAATGACTGCTCCTCAGGCAACGGCTTGAACGGGCGAATGAGAGGCCTCCAAAGTAGGCGCAGTTGTATTGGACGCCTTCTGTTGTTGTATCTTTAGTTTACTTGAAGATCTCATGCTTACATATCGACTACGGTCACGTTCCCAGTCACAATATGTTAATTATGGTCTGACTGTATTAAGCCTAGTGTTGTCGAGCGATGCCTGCGCTTTCTTTTTGATGTTCTCTGGTCTATCACGGGTCTTATGTGATTTGTTCCAATGTCATCAAACTCCACCGTTTTTGTATATGAAGAGAATTTGTTGAGATTATATGTTTTTCGAAGTTTACCTTGATAGTCTGTGTTTCTTTCTCCTTAATCATAGTTTCAGTAACAACAATAAAAAATGACCTTCTCTTGTAGCATGGCTCAACTATGAAATGTTGGGGCTATAAATATCGATGAATTGCTGGTTTTCGTTGCATATTATTTATAGCTGGAAGGTTAGGAGATTGTTCATGGAACCATTCCTATTATCTTGAAGTAGATGAATAACAATAGGAAGAATTAGGGTGTCGCGGAATCCACTGCTAATGAGTAAGCAGGCAGCCGAAGCGGACTCGACTCTGATAGAGCCATGTTTTTTGAACTGGCCTTGTCAGCGTCGATTCCATTTTGGCTGTCATGGCCTGGAATCTGCAACTTGCGACGAGTAATGAACAATAAACAAAACCCTGAAGTTTTATTAATGCCTTCTTCGAAAAAAAAAAGCTTTTTGAAATTCGAAGAAATAGAGGTTGTACGAGACTTCCATGACGGAAATGGCATGGAAGGGGTATTAGTGCGAGATTACAGTTGCTGCAATTCCTCAAAGAGCTTCTTCATCAAGCCAAAATTTTCCATAGCTACGTTCCACTGTCACCATGGGTCATGACAAGTTGTTTGAACTACCATTATGGGAGTACCTTAAGATGGAAACTCGTGCGCGATCGGTTCCCAATACATGTATTGCCTTCAACGTGACTTTGTGCCGTTTTTTCTGCTCTGCATAGCAAGATCGGAACAAGATTCTCGAGGCTTTCATTGCGTAAAGTTTACCGATCGTTGCTCTTCGTTACCAGGGTTCTACTTCTTCACACTTTTCTGCGCAGTCAATGAAGTAGCGGTAGTCGGCCGAAAAACGAAAGACGGAAGCAGACTGTACAAGTTCTAGTCTTGTGGGCAGGGTGCACACCAAAAATGGATTTAGTTTTATCTTGGTGGGACAAGCCCTTGGATCATGGGGAGGCGACATATGGCACTGACGTTTTAGAAGGGTGCAGTAACGGCGTGAAAGCCGTTTCAAATGTCCGTTGCCGATGTTAACTTACAGGATAGGACGTGTCAAGCAGTCCCTCCCAATGGCTGTATCGGGTGGGGGACCTTGTCGTACAATGCTAAACAAAAGCAACTATTGTTCCAGGCGGGGTTGCAACGTCGCCCAATATTTTCCGTTGCCAAACCCTGGAAATGACCCTATGGGTAAACTGTACTGGTGTGCAAAACTTCGGGATGAAAGCACTTTCGTTTAATATACCTCTGCCAAATAACAGACCCATGAGTCTTATACCATACGTGAGAGGACTATCATGGTGTTGCACAGAAGGCAACTTGAAGAAGTAATACAAAATAAGGCGAAGAGGTATGACATTCTTATTCAAAGACACCGATTACACATGTCTTCAGTTTCTCCCTGGTATATTAAAAGGACTGACACGATTCTAATAGGTTTCTATGAACATCACGTACAGCAATACATGCTCTGCAACGGGTTTCCATACTTTCCACGAGGTTGATAATGAGTTTTGTCTGCTCAGTGCGCCCTACCCGTACTTCCTGTGATTCATGTCAGGGAGAGGAGCAGGCTACATAAGAGCTTCTCTACGTGTGCTGTTTCATGCGGTCATGCATTGTCATCCATAAAAATGAAATCTGGGTCGATTGCAGCCATGAAAAAGCTTGGAAAAGGAAGGAAAACCTCGTTACAGCAACGCTGTTTGGTAGTGGTCTCACGATAAAAAATATGGAAGTCGGTACGGCAATGCAACATAGCGCCTCCCCGTACAATAACACCTGAACTATCAGAACGATCACGGCAATGCTTTTGGAAAAGTGGTGCGTTCCCATCTCTCACCGCATGAGCGTGCCTCAAAAATTACTGCTCAGACCGAATATGTTCTCATCCAAAATGAGCACACGGATCCATCCCTCATCGGTCCATTTACTACTCACCGTAAGTAGTCTTGCCTATGAGCGAGGTCAAAAGAACACAACGTAGTGGAGAGACCGGCACCTTGCAGTCGTCGGGTCACTGTGGTGCTTGAGGTGACTGGCCTTGAAGTCAAGCTTAATTTCATTGCAATACAGAAGCTTCCCTGGATAGCTTTCCGTCTGCTGCACAATATAACGGTCATCTCTCGGTATAGCTGAACTCGTTCGACCATCTCCTCTTCTTCGGAGAGTTTTACCAGAGGTACTGAACGCTCTTCATTCACGTGAAATAACGCTGTAACAAGCTACACTCATCATGGCTCGACCTTCTTCAACTTTCCCGATGACCCTTCCAGTATCATCCAAACGATGTCTGCGGGACATGATATAGGGGAGGAGATCAACACAGTACCTTGTAGCTACTCGTTGATTGACAAGAGCTCTCTTTTCCACACCCATCAACTGCCTCTATTTGCGTGAGCAGCAGTATTTTGCGCCCTATTTAGGCTGTTCTCCCACGGAGGGTAACCAAGTTCGATACGTTTGGCGACATGCTCCCACACTTCCCTTTCCACCCAGTCGTTCACGTTTTATGCTAATTTATCCATCTCGTCCTTAAGCTTTGGACACCACTGTAGTTTTAAAAGGATGCTATTGCTCTCGTTTTCTTGCCAACTGATGCGCTATTCTGCACCAAACTAACCCAAAGAAACGGGGTTCTTGCCGTCTAACCAAGTAATGATGCGAAAATATTGTCGCAAGCTATTTTTTTGACCTTGTTTGTTTGCGAAGCGGTGCAAGTAAACTCGCGATGTTGATCACTGCGTAACTGCGTAGCTGTTGTAGGTACGACTTCGCATCCCATGTAATATCATAATGAGTGGAGGTGAAGTGATGTGCGAAAAAGAGAGAATAGCGAAATAGGCAGTCGGAGGAGCACGTTGATGGTTTCAAGTCCATTATAACCCGCCGACTTCTTTTGGTCATCTCCCAGTGTGCAGCATGACTTACAAGAAAAGGACACTAGGTCGCAGTGGCCATTCAAGATGAGAAGTATACCGACGTAAGTAGTTTCAAACGCTGATTTCATATCTGGGTTCCAAGCCTGCTAAACGATTTTGAGAACAAAGTTGTGGGCCGAGTTTCCCCATGTGCCATTTTACTTTGTTGCTTTTATATGAGAACCAAGCCGTGTTAAACGTGGACCGATGGCGCAGTTGGGACGAGGACGGACTGGTAGGCTTGGCAGGAGGATCGAAACTTTGATGTATGTGCTTGTTTTGGTTTTTCATTTGAAAAAAGCCCTGAGCGCTTGCAATACCCATTTACGCATCATATAGACTACCTGCAGCCCTCCTTCATGTTTGCGAAACCTCAAACTGCTTATACAAGTAGAGTTTTCCATTGCCTCCACAGTCTGTGAAGGTTATGAAAAACTTTCTGCTCAGGGCACTTAGATGCGGTCAAGAAATTCTGCAGCCCTATGCACTTTCGAAAGAGGGCTCGTCAAGCCATAGCGCTTTTGAATGGAGTAATTTCCTCTCTCTGGGTAAAAGCGAGCTGGTACGATGATTATAATATAATCTTTGCTGCTGACAATTCGCTACTGACAGTCGCCGGTTGCAACAGCAGATTTTCCGCCTGAGCGGTGGAATCTTGGCCCCTGAAGAAGACGATAACGTCGAAATGTTAGGCCGTTGACAAATAAACTGTTCCATCGAACAACCTCGCACAGCACAAAAATATTTATAGTCATATGCAACTATGCCGAAGTTAAAGCAAGAGAGAAGCTGCTGCAATTCAACTGTCATTTTTGTGCAAAAATACTGTCCGAACCATAGGAGAGCATTTCATGAACAGATGCGATAATCCAATACAAAGTGTTCGAAACAGAAAACTCCTCACAATGTGAGCATCGTATGAAAAACAGTTCACCACACCGATCACTCACAGCTCCCGTCTAGATGAGATGAGAAACAATATTGCACTGGACTTTCAGATTCTCCCGGATCCGTATCTAGGTATCCTGCTGCAAACCATGAGTGAGAAAGAATTTTTGTGAATCTTGGTGTGCTAAACAAGAAGTATACTAGTGAGATGAGGCGAACTATGGAATTGCGGTTACTACGTAGAAGTCCAAATCATGAGGAATTACGAAAGGGACAATAGGGTAAGAAAAAATATACATCGAGAGGCTGAATTCAAGAGGTGGCGCCTGGTGGAATGCTGTGCACTTTCACCTCCTTGCCAGTTGGGAAAACACCCTGAATCGCTTCATGGTTTTGATCGAGCTAAATGAGTCGACGATCATTAGGAATGAAGGCATATTGATCCAACGCAAGATCTAACCCAATCCAGTATATGTTTCTGCCGAAGTTAGTGACCAAATTTTGAGTGCCTGGAGCAGAAGGGTTCTAGGTACACCCCTATTCCGTCTGTGGATGCGACGAAAAAATTTACTTGTAATAGTCTCTCTGGTCTAAATAATTACGGACGAAGGCTATAGGTAGTCTATATAATGC